AGTGAGGTTTGGTAATTCCTGTATTAATGTAAATGTATAACCAACAGTGAAATAAACATTGCCCAAGTGTGATTTTGATTCAATCCTGCTGGTAAACTTTTTTCTTGATTCATTGTTTTACTTAAATTCATGTATTTGTGGACAATTTTATCTTTGGTGATGAACCACAAGAGGTAAACAGCAGGAATATTCCTCAGCAAGTGAGTCTATCGAATGTCAATCAGTACTTGAATGATTATCAACATGAAAAAGAAACAATCTTGACTTAACTTTTTCCCTTGTGCTCCTGCTGGCACATTAGAACTGGCAGCCAGATTCTCAAATAGTAGAAATGCACAGAAAGTCAGTGTGCAAAAACTTGAGACAAAATTTAATAGTATACATATTCTCCTCAGTGTAGTCTTTACATTCATGATGGTACTGACAAGGAGAATTTGTTTAATGATCAAGAGCTTCATTAGTTTATCATTTCTCATATTCTCATCACTAACTGTTTGATTTGTTTGTGATTCTTTGGAGAGAAATAAGACGCTTACTCTCCGGGAGTTAATCTTTTTTGCTACACAGTTACGGTATCTCTTTTGGAGTGTTCTGTCTAGTCAAGCCAATAGTTATTTTAAACTCTTATTCTATGAAAAGGCAACACTAAAGAGCTCTAAAATTGTCTCCAAATTTTTTTTCGGATTATTTTAATTTATACAATGTGACAAGTAGGGTCCCTCAAAGAGCCTGCTTTTTTTAAAGTTACTTTCCAAATTAAGTGAGTTCATTGATTTTGAGCACATCAGTTCTGATTCTCTCATTGGCTTTGTCAACTGAATCAGACAGAAGGTCCAGCTGTTGGAGTTGTCTGTCTTGTTCCTCTTGTATGCCCAGAGCCAGAGACCTCATGTCCTGTAGGACTTGGCCCATCTCTGCTGCCTCAGCATCAGTAACCATCTTGGAATCTTTTTCCCTGGTTTGAACTCCAATTGAGTCTTCCTCACTCTTGTCACCTTCTGAGAAACATATTGGGTTGTTAGAAACTTGTCATAATAAAAAACGATTTGGTAATTTTTGAACAGTGTTTCTCATATCATTCAGGTTCGTACACTTAACCATAAGACTTGTTTGGGCCTCGCATCAAACTTTTAGGGAAAGAGGTCACAACTGGACAAGGAATTGTCTTCATAGGAGATCTACTCCTCTATTTTTTTCAGCATAATAATCACACTATTGAATTGTAATAAAAAATCACCACTCAAAAGAAGCCTAATGAATAAGGATATATTAAAGGGACAAAAGGATCATTCAATCACTTACAGCCAAAATGTGAACACCAGATTTGAAATTTGCACGACATGAGGAATCTACGACAGACATTTGATGTCCTGGCTGAAAGTAGCTGAAGCTCTTCTTGGTGGAAACTTGCTGGAAAGGATATTCACCCATAATTGATGTAGCACTGAGAGAAAGCTCAACACTGCAATGACTGCACATACCTTGCAAATAAAACATCTCTGAATCTAGGTCCTGATCACCAGCGTCATCAGGAGGTTCATCGTAATTTATTTCTCCTGGAAAAACAACCTGGAGAGTTTGTAGAATATGAACCAAGCGAGCTGCTGTTAGATGCACAGAGCTATCAGCTTTTCCTATTGACTGCTGCAATATTGTCATTTCCCAAGGGGTATGAACACTCACTTCTGTAATTTCCTTCACAGTAAAGGAAATATCAAGACTCCATCCAACATCAAAAATCTCCAGGGATTTATTTGACAGCATTAAAGTACCAGGAAAATGTTTCTCTTTATGGGTCCTTGCATACACTATAGGGTATTCTGTCTTTTCTATGGGCATGTTGTCCTCTGGGACATCTATATGTACTTGAGGAGTTTCCAGATTCCACTTGCTAAGCCATGAATCTAGATTGTAAATTAAAGTTTCGGCAACACCAAGATCATTATGAATCTTGTTCATGTTTGCACAGGCAGAGTCTATCTGTTGTCCCTGTCTCTGTATTGTCCTACCAGTTGATGTCAGAGTGTTTTGAGCATCATGCAAGATATTGAGAAGTTCTGAATTGCAAGGTGTATCACTGGTAGAGCTAGAGTAAGGAAAGATATGGAATTTAAACTAAAAAATGTATTTTGGTTACATTATTTAAACACGATCGAGTAATTTATTTTTGACGTTTGTATCTATCCTTAACCCAATAAACCCAAAGCATGATCAGCATCCACGCTAACTTCACCACACAGTAACAATGCTGATTCCTTCATTTTCAATGATAGTAAGAAGAAAGGAAATGATCGCCAACCTAAGAAGCCTTTATCGTTGCACAAATTCTCCTTGTCAGCGCCAAAGGGGAAGTAAAGAGAAGAGAATGGAGAATAAGGATATTGATGGTAGGGGCTTAGAGGGCTAAAAGACATCTTTCCCAACACCCTGCTCTTCCTATAGCTTTTTTTCTTCCCCTATTCGCCCTGGGACGTGTACAGAGTTATCATTAAGGTCGTTGCCAACTGCCATGATATCTCAACACAACATAAAAACGTTTTACCTTGCAAAAAGCCTTTCCTTCCAAAAATGTTCGATCATGTTGAAAACGTGACCACTATCAAACAACGACGAAAACCAGTATTTGTCTGTCCGCACGCGGATTGTGATGGCTGCGAAAAACACTGATGTTGTTTCCTTCTTCAGCTTGAAAAAGTTTTCGTAGTAGATTCGAAAATCGAGGCAATCTGTTCCCTCTTTGTCTTCGATAAAACGTATGCATCGTGTGTAAATAATAAGGTGACCATAAACCCACGTTCTGGTGCTGTTACAGTAGTAGGACGCTTTCCATTCACTGACTTTTCCCATGCTAAGTTTCCTGCTTATCCCGATTATCCCAGGAAAACTGAGGAAAACTGTTGTGTTGATGTCGTGTTATGATTAGGGAATCAAAACAATTAGGTCAGCGGCGCAAACGTTTCGTACATTCCGAAAAAATCCGACGGTATTCCGAGGTTTGACGAAGTACATGGGCATGTCTCTGAGTTGAACCAATCTCTTTTTTACTCTGGAGTCCACCGGTATTTTACGCGTAAATACCTCAACATGGCCGAAAGAAACCCGTGCGGTGGGGAAGACTTAACAGACGAGGACGAGGAAGAAGAAGAGCTGGATCCTCGCGTGCAGGTATGAAATGATACAGCAATTCAAATGAAAGTTGATAGTATTTTCAACTTGCGGTGATTTGCGTGTTGGTTCCTTTTGTAGGACGAGCTGGAGAAATTGAACGCCGCAGCTATCTCGATAAATCATATAGAAGCAGAACTTGATGTAAGTTTGAACACTACGTATACGACTCATGTAAATTGATAGATGTCTTTGTTACTGTAAGCTATGGTTAGTGACAAGCCATTCATTTCCGCACGATAATACAACTTTGTGTACTTTGTTAATCCATGCTGTATTCGCTTTACAGTATTTGTATTTTTAAAGTTTTCTTAATCGGGAGTCGTTTATTTCAAGCCCATGTTTTACATTGTTCATGTTAAATTTTCACCTGTTCTTATCGTAAGTATTAATAAGGATCTCTACCAAGATTTTTGCACAAATTAAACCGAGCTCATTGGATGGGCCAATGGTTATCAATAGGGGGTAGTGTGGGAGTCTACATTAATTAGACAGAAGTGGGACGGTAAACCAGGGATTTTGAATGCTTGTTTTGACCAATTCAAAATGTCAAGCCAAGATATCTGGGGGATTTTTCATTTTTCTGCTTTTTTTTTTTTCCAGAGAAATGTAATATAGACATTTTCATGTAATTTGAAAATATTATCCAAGATGATTGCTCAGAAACTTAACGTGAATGTTTTGAAAAGCGGCTGGTCTTAACAGATGTTTTATAGCTTTTACTTCTTCAGTTTGATCTTTTGTATACTGCAATTAAATGTACATTTCTGCAACTTCTAAGCAATTGTTACACTAGAAATAACTCAGGATAAAATGTGATAAACAGAGAAATATTCAAACACTTTCCTTCTCCATGATAATTACGCTGTGTACATGGTTTTATTTTATTATTTTTTTTGCATCTTGGTAAGCTCTGCTCTGCCTTTGCACTTAATTCTGGATCTTACCTTTCTTTCCTCAGTATCCACACCATCTATACCCATTTCCTTTCAAAATTCGAATTGATCAAAATATAAAATGAACTGACTATCCCCTAATTGGGCATCTCAGGGTCATTGTAGCATAATCAAACATATATTCTAAATGTGCTGTTCTCAACCAATTGATAGTTAACATAAATTAGCCAAGAATAAAAACTAAATGAGTCAGACCAGTTAGTTATTTACTAAATGAAGCTAGGGAGTAGAACCTTCTGCAACTAAGCACAAATCTGGCCAAATGAATCAGAGTTAAATCTTTAGTTTCCTTTATACCCTTTAGGAGGCTAGGGCAGTTTTCCGGCAAACCATGGCTGCAGCAACATACCATCTAAACGACCAAGCGAAAAAACTAGGGAAGTGTATTGAAAAGGCAAGACCTTTCTATGATGTGCTCAGAGAGATGCGCAAGGTATGAGAATGCTGAACTCTTTGATATAGGGAGATACTGTTGTCTACAAATTTGTCAATACAGACTTCAACTTCTTTTTTTTAGTTTACCAGTTGGTGGAAATATAGTTATTTGTGTCTGGGGAGTGATCTCAAACCCTTTGTAGACATCTGTCTTCAGTGTTGTCAGCCAAAATCAGGTTGCTTTTTGGTGGAATCCTTAATACCAAAGCACTGGGTTCTTAAAAGCCAAGAGATAGAAAATTTATTTGACCTCAAAGCAAATATACCTATTGGAGTAAAGTGCAGTAAAAGTATGGGAGAATACAAATAACCAATTGCTGTGCTAAGCTCTGACTGTTTTGGTCGCATGGTGAGCAGTAAAACATCTTGACAACTAAATTTGTTAGAAAAGTTGATGATTTGGCAACCTTTTTTATTGGTGATCCATGGTTGTAACCTTTGTATTACTGATTATTTATGGTTGAAACCAGTTTAAAACCTCTCAACTCCCTCAAGTGATCAAGAAAAAAAATTCTCCTTACAATATCAATACAATTATCAAGCATACATGAGTGATGAGAAGAGAGAAAAATTATCAATTAGGGGATTATTAGTTGATTCAATACTAAATTCTTCAAACTCACTTCATAAGAATTAGATGGAAGACAGTGAGAAGAATTGTTCATGAGACTATGGAAGTGGAATGACTAATGTTACTAAAGGGAAGTAAATTGTATTTCTTTTATCATAAGGCTCACTCTCAGCTACAAAAGGCAACTCTTCAGTATGAAAAAGCAAGTAGCAGGCATGTATGTGCACGGAAGACAGTGCATGAGGCTGAACAGAGGGTATTTTGCGGTGGAGAGAAGAGAGCATTTGATGCAGCATTGCAAGAAATTCTCAACCAGGCCACAATTGAGGTAAAAATTCATTAAAGTTGCAAATAACTGTCTGTCATCTAACAATTTCTCATTAGAACTATAACGTTGGAGGATATCTTGACAGCAGTTAAAGATTACAGTGTATATCTGGAAAAAATTTAAGCCCATAACTAGTAAAGCTATGGGTTTTTGCTAAAGGTTACTTGAAAAGAAACCATAAGTCTAATTACCTCTCTGTTCTTTAAAGAAGCTCAGAGGGCATAGTTTGACATGTTTCTTAGAAAAAGATATTTGTGACTTTTGCATTACATTTAAAGCTAGATCATAAGCAATGCCCTTTTTGGGGGAAGGCAAAGGGAATTCTCCTGCTATATTTAGATCATTCATTAAAATTACACTTATTTAAGTGTTTTTCAATGAAGTCTTGTTTTAAAAAATGACTTCAAAGCATAAGGTCTGTTTCCATGGAAAATTTATCGAAAAATTCACATTTATAAATTGATCTCAGGTATGCATGCAGGATTTGTATTATTAAAACTGCTAAGGAAGTTATTCTCTGGGGCAACCAGTTACATTACATCACCTCAGCAAATTGTCAGACTTTAAATTTGTCTCCATGATCCCTTTTACTGAAAAATTATTGTGAAATTTAGAAAGGACCATCTGAAACTGATGCTGTTGGTACAAATGATGCTGGTTACATCTATCACAGCCATCTGAAAGGAAGAACCTTTTCATCAGTTACACTGTGCAGCTAAAATTTCAACTTCTGTTCTGTCTTCTCATTTAAGTCATTTGTTTTTTGTTTCACAGGTCAATGAGGCTGAAAATCAAAAAAAGGAGAGTTGGGTGACTCATCAGAAAATGTACAAGTCCTACCAGGAAGTGGATCAAAAAGCCAGGACTATGCAGAGCAAACTGAAAAAATTTATTGAGAAAGCCAAGTAAACTATTATACCTCACTACTGATAACCTAAGCTCTAATTCCAAAAGCCAGGATTATGCAGAGCAAACTGAAAAAATTTATTGAGAAAGCCAAGTAAACTATTATACCTCACTACTGTTAACCTAAGCTCTAATTCCAAAATTTCAAGTGTTATTAGAAGTGTTATTATGTTCTCAACAGTTCTCAACAATTTCAAAAAGCCATAAACTTCCTATAGCCAAGCTTCCTGTACAGGGCTATGTCTAATGTTCTGTAAAATTATATATGCATTCTCTCAGTATATGCAGTATGCTTGTCACACATGGACCTGGTAAATGACTTTGTTTAGCAACAAGTTCTCTTAAGCTCAGTGCTGGATCATCAAACTGTTCAGTTCCTGGCAAGTGGCTCAGACTCTTTGTTTGCTCCACACTTGTGACAAAAGAGATTGATGACAAAATGCAAAATTTTCTATCTTTCTCATCCTTTGTTACCCTTTCCTACTTTGTAGGCCCTATTTTACTCAAAAAGTGTCCTTTGATCGTCATTTATGGGTAGGTATATAAAATATTTTTAATTGCTTTGTTACATGGAATTTTTGTGAAAGGGGTTCAGACCTGCAGATCTACAGGTCCACTAATTCTATTGAGGAGACACAAGACATCAAGCAATGTCTTTATACAATTGTGACGATCACAAAGCAGTTGTTTGCTCCTTCCTGGTAATTGTTAGCAGTCACCTTCCTTCAAGGTAAAAGTGAACAGTAGCATCCATGTTTGGCTGTTGGTAACCTCTCAGCCAACTGTTTTCAGACATGATACCTGTAGACACATTACATTATTATTAGACTGAGAACTGCTCTTCACTTTTTAATTACCAACATCTGTGCTGTAATTTCTGGACGAAGTAGAAATTTCATGCAAATTTGCATAGAATTTGGTTTTACTAAAGGAAAACTTCCTCTCTGGATACCTTTGTCTGTTCTCATGACTTGTGTGCTGACTGATACGATAATGATGATTAACATTTCAAGGAAAAACTACATGCACATTGTTGATAACTTGGGTGAGAAAATAAGACAGAGTAAGAATGAAATTCATCTCACAACAATTGAAATGACTCACTAGACGAAATATGCATGAGTAAAGGATTTAAAGTGCATTTCATGCTTTCAGTCTAAAATAATAACTATAGCAAAACTCATCATCAAAAGCAGAGCGTAATTAGCCCTGAACCAAGGTCATAAGCTTCTTTCAAAAGTTAATTGCTTGATATAACACCAAATCCTTTGGAGCACTTTGCTATAAAATGTATGAAAAAAAGAAGAGAGAACTGCTTAGAAATTCTTCACATGGGAGTACAATTTTCTTATTCTCCCATACATGTTTATTATTCTACTTTGGTATGAATCCACCAGTAGTCTATCACAAATGCTGCAATCTCATGGGTGCTGCTTGATCTCTATTTTGTGTTAGATACCCAGTATTGAGTAGGGTGAGTCGCTCAACAGTGTGGGGTCGTTAACAAATTAACTCATGAGCCTGTCTTCTTGTTAAGTTTTGAACCAATAGTATATTTATTCTAAAATAAGTCGGTAATACGTGCTTTATTTCTATGTGCGATGGTTCATTCGAGATTCTCCTTCATCTGACACGATAGGAATATAGAACTTAATAATCTATACTTATGAAGCATAACTCTAGCCTATACAATCCCGAATAGTTACTGTCTTGAGACAAGTTTTCTCTTCAGCCTTTATATATGATTACTGATTGTCTTTCAGCAATTAAAACTGAGAGTGGACTGGATACAGAAGGGCCTCGGTGAAGCAAAAGTCAACTACTCCAAGTGCCTAAGATCCTTGGAGGTCATCAGCGACGACATCCATCAGAAAAGAAAACACAAGAAAACGCTCCCCTTGTTGGCCAATCTGCAAGAAAGGGAAGCGGGTGTTGGGGCAGATTCTGAAGACGAAGCGTCTTTGGAACAAAGCCAACTCGATCTCGACCTTGATTGTAATTCAAGTCTCAGCGAACTGGATGGAATTGCTGCCGAGAACCTGCCTGATTTGCCGACTTTGACTGGCAGGGTGCTTACGGATGCAAAGGAGCCTTCTGATGTAAACGCGTCCACTGAAGGTGCAGCTGTAGAACGAGGAAATGTGGACCTTGGGTCGATATCAAGGGAAGCTCTGGAAAGGAGTGTATCAGGGGCTGAGAGCAACGAAAGCGTCGATTCTGATTCGCTGGCGAGTTTAGCGAGGTCTGGCTCTTTCAAACGAGAGGTTTATGGCTGTGAACAGGACGAGGACGAAGTAGAAGAGTGTAATATTGCTAGTAAAGAGTCACCAAGGGAAGAATACGAAGAAACTACAGAATTGACCGAGAAACTCGACAGGAATATTACACTAACATCTGAAAGTGACTGGTCTGAAAGTATTAGTGATACACCTGTGGGTGACAGCTCAAGTGTGCAACAAGAAAAAAGCACACAAGGGTCGAATTTCTCAGAAGAAATTCTAGTTCAAGAACAGACGGAGACTAAAAATCTTGATGCAATAGATAGTTGTGTTGCTTCCATACAGGAAGCAGCTGTGGAAGGAACTCGGAAACGTGATTCCGAAGCATCGTTCGATGTTGACAATACAGACGATAAACATGGTTTAAGCAGCGAGTGCGAATCATCGCCAGCAAATGATGATGCTGTCGAAGTGAATTTAAAAGATGCACCAACTGTGTTATCGTCAGAGGTACTTGCTGGGAATGGTGCTGACCAATGTGAGCCTCAGAAAGATCCAGCTGAAGCCACTTCAGAGCAATCCTCCGATAATGGCGAGTGGATTTAGCTGGAAAGCTCGAACATGTGACTTTTTAATGATCACAAAAATGATTCTAACTTGTTCATACCGGTTGCCAAGGGATCTCTTCTGGAAATCATAGAAACCCGGCCATTTTGTACTAGTATAACAGAACGATGGAAATCAGAAAGCCTCCATACTCCTTAACTCATGGTTAAGTGTTGTAGTTTAGAGAACCTTTTGTATCAGTGACGCAAACGACATCACATACATAGATAAGGACCATATCACGAACTGAAAATTATGATGGATAGTGCGTTTCTCCTTTTGCAGATCTGTGTATTTTTTTCAAAAATAATTCATACCTTTTTTCGTAAGTTTTCATGATCAGTTGTAAGGGGGGATTTATGGCTTTTATAATACATATCAAAACAATATTTATAGGATGGGGATTTCTAAAAATCAAATGAAATACATAATATATTACGAATATGCACTTGTTTTGTACGCATTGTTTGGCGACACAATAGCCTAATCTGCACTTTGTCACTCCTTCCGTTAAATTTCACCGTGACTTTTCTCGAGCTCTCGGCGGAGCGCAGTATTGCGTGACCTAGGTGATAAGGCAAGGTGGTGGACAAAATTGTCGTGGCGGGGAGGGGAGAGGGGGAGGGAGTTTTTGGTTGACTGTTTTCTACCGTGGCTACCCAAATGTATGCCGTTTGAAGTGGCTAAACTATTGTACTCCCGGAAAAAAAAGAATTGCTCATTTCAGATTTAGCCGACGTTGCGCGGTGACGTAGGAATCTAACACTGCACTTTGTCAAAGTCATCCAACTGAATAAATTTGAACTGTGCATCTAGATTGAGCGGTTATGTTTACGTTCGTGGATTGGAAAATGTAGATAAATTTTTCGGTGAATGTGAATACATACAAAGTTCTTCAGTTAAGTACCATTTCTCCAAAGGCATCAGTCAGGCCATCGACAATTTTCCGGTGTATTTGACAGATGTCGAGACAGCAGTCATCTCCGGCCCCATCAAAGTAACACGGAGTGCTTTACGTATTGTGTCATGGTAGATTGAGCAAAATCACGAACGGACTGAACTTAATTGATGTGGACTGGCCAAACTAAATACTTAAAATAAACAAACTAAATGCATGATCAGTAAGTATCATTTGTCAAAAGGTGGATTAGGAATTTTTTCTTATTTCATTGATAAAAAGAAAAAAAAACCTTGAACTTTGAGACCTAAATAGCTGCTATGCTCTGGGTGTTATTTCTATATGTTGGTGGACTAATTAAAAGATGACTTTTCGACTACGAGCAGTCCTCCTTTAAAGTAAAGTCCATCGCACGCGAGGAAAAAGAATCGTTGGAAAAAAAATATTGATATGCTGGCACAACTCGCGAAACTTTTCTTGCGCCTCGCCTCCAGAGTTCCGAACAGCGCAATTCTCTTCACTGATTTTTCTTGCCTCTTGCGACCGACTTCGTCGAAAAGCGGGGACTGCTTGAAGTCTTGTTTTACGTTAAATCATGCAATGCCTACTCCAACGACCACCACATATCGTATAATTAATTACTCGTTGTTTATTGATACTAGCTCGTAGCCACTGAAGCAATTATATTATTCGATCTGAAACAGAGCAATACAAATCGTCGTTACGCAACTTACTTATGATTTCTAAACCCAATGATTTCACTGAAAAAATACCTCAAGAAGAAACTACTATGATGCGTTACTCACTTCTGTGGCGGTTAGTAACTTAGAACGGGTTACCCTTAAACTGGTTAACTTGGCTCTCTTTTCCTGCTGAGTGATACCGGTTAGCAAATTGTTTCTGATTGAAACCCGAACACATGTAAAAGCACAAGTCTAGTAATCTCAAATGTCAATCAGTGTCCCTTATCTTTAACTAAATCAATGTTTGTAACCATGAGTTCATTTCCGGTTCCGTCAATGAAACAGTCTCATGACTTCATTAGATCAGTTAACACCGTTATGTGGCTCAGGATCATCTTTCCGTGGTACAAGAGATGGATGCAGGGATATTCAACCTCGTCTTACGCTTTACTAAACTTTTCTCAAAAGCGCACACTAATATCAGCGTGATTTAAGGACGGTCCTTAAAGCTCATTCCAAATTAATTTTGTCAAGTCCAGTCCTGTCAGGCCAATCCTTTTGTTAATCTTCAGTAAACTGTAGACATAACTGATCTGGGCACTCTCAACAGAGGAAAATGTAATCGAGAGGGGAAGATACGACTCAATTTCACCGATTTCGTTCTTACTCTCTTCTTTATGTCTTCGATTGTAACAGCCGTTTTTAAAGCCACTATCGGCTTGCTCATGAACAAAGGCAGAGATAAGGTAGCGGAGATTCTGAAAGATGGTGACGTTACAGATAGAAAATTCCACTCCTTTATCGTCCGTGAATTAGACGACATCAAATCAAAGTTAGATGGATTATCAAGGAAAGATTTAGGAGCGAGTATCAGCTTCTTCGAGGAAGGAATCGCATTGTTGTACGAAGTGTTTGACAAGGCAAGGTTCACTAGCGAGTGTGTCGATGGTGGGGTGACAGCACAGGCGGCTTGTGATGAAGCACTTTCTCTCGTTGAAGGAATCAGTAGGTTAGAACTTACTGGGCTGGATGAATCAGCTTCAAGAAAGCTTTCCAGTGCAAGGGAAAGATTCAAAGATGCTCGAAGGAAAGCAACTGAAGCTTTCAAAATGAAAACCTTGATATATCTGACCGCATTCTCGCTATGCACTATAGAGTTATGGCCACGATCTTGCAGACGGTAGACAATCCCGCTGATGCAGTGGCACCATGTAGAGTGTGTGTAAAGGAACTAAACTGTCTGCCAGCAGTACAGAATAGTTTCAGAATTCAACTCAAGACAGGCATTCAGGCAGTAAGAAGCTTGTTTAATCAAGAGGAGAGAAGGAAAATCATTTCTGGTGTCTGTCACGTGAATCGAGTCATCTACGATGTCACGCTAACAGTCGGTAAAGACGAAAACTTCTTGATGTGGCCTCATGTTACTGAATGCAATAAAGTTGATCCACTTCGTGACGAAAGAGTTCTTAAAGTATTATTACATCAGGGAATGGAGCACTGTTCTCTACTTCGTTCCTTTGGTCAGGAGGTTACACTTAGCTATGGTAAGCTGAAACGGCCGATGTGTATCACCACGAACTCTAAAGGAGACTTCATTATCGGAGAACCCGACGGCACGTGCTTAAAGGTATTTGACAGCAGCGGCAAAGGTCCACGCCAATTCAATCTTACTTCCGGTGACGTAAATACAAAGTTATCTATTTATGATGTGGCCACAGACGTGAAGGACAGCCTCTTTGTACTGACTAGATTTCTGAAGTCTGAGTCTGAAGAGTGTTTCTGGGTTTTTGTGATTCCTGATCTCACGCAGGTTTTTAGGCGTTACAGGTTTCTTCTGAGAAAAAGTGACCAGGACGATGGGTACCAACGACTGTCAGTCAATGGTACACGGGGTATACTGACACTGAGGGGCAAGAGGTCAGTGGAGGAATACAATGTTGATAATGGAGAGTTTGTGCGTAGTTTTGGAGAAGGAATAATGAAGGGTGCATGTGATATCACTGTTGCAAATGATGACCAGGTTTTAGTACTGGACAGAGATGATTTCTCTGTTCATGTATTCAGTAGACAAGGTGATCATCTTAACAAGTTTAAACTGCATGGGGCAAATGGTTACAATCATCCCAAAATTGCATTTCACTTGGCAGGTGGACATGTTGTGGTGGCTGATAGTGGGAAGGAAAGCTACCTCTTACATGTGGAATTATTCACCAAAGATGGTGAGTTGTTGCATAGTGCTCAAATCCGTTATAAAGAGATAACACCCTTTTGCTGGTGTTGCAGTAACTCCTGAGGGCCGAATTGCTCTCCTTGCAGGTGATGAAGTGCTCATTTACACATCACCTGATGCTGTCGTTTCTCACCTTTTTTGAGTCATCATTTAAAAGTCAGCCATAATGCATCAATCAAGTTGTAGCTTCAAAATCCACACCCTTCCCTGGGCAAACCCCTGAGCATTTTGAAGATTGGTTCCTTTAAATTACTGCCCCCCTCCCCCACTGTTAAGGCCAAAATATTTAGCAAAGTCACATATTAATTAGATTTTGGTCCTGCTGTCTGGGTTTTTTGCTTGTTAACATCATTCTATTATATGAAAATTTTCTTTCAAAGTTATTAGCTCCTAATTAAAGTAGTTTGACTTCCCTACCTTACCCANCAATGAAATTTGTAGGTTTTTTCTTTATTTTGAAGAACTTTTACATTGGGCTTCTTGCTAAACCTTCACCTTGAGCTTGATTGAGCAATTAAAAAATTCTCAGACATTACACTCAGTACAAAGGTAAGGTTACTGCATAACCCCTTTCTTCTTATGTTTACAGTTTATTGATGAGAGAAAACAGTGACACAAACATAGGTTATATATTTGTCTTGTGTTTTATATGGTTTATATTTTAAAACAAATTTTATTTGGAAAGACTTTTACATCATTCCATATCGTGCATATTAGTCACAAAATAAAGAAAATTCCAGTTCCAAATTGTGCATAGAATTCTAAAAACAAATTATAAGCTGTTTCTAGTCCCATATGGTCTTTCTTATGCATTTTTTGTAAAAGTAATGATGAATCCCTCAGGCATTTGTTTGTACAGTGCATCTTAATATCCAAATTCTGGGATTAATTGTGAATTGGAGCTCACTCGTATGCTTGAATCGGATAGTTTTAATGATGAAATATTTTATTTGGAATTCCAGCCTTTGGGATGTCAAAGCAGGTATACCTGGTAGCTAATTTTGAAAACCATAATCCTGATAGGTACTAAGCAAACCATTTATTAAAGCTAGAAGACTTTGTTGAAAGCAGCATTTAGTGCTTTTTAAAGCAAAATGAAACATATGAAATCCCTTGAGAATCAAATAGCCATCAAAAGGGCTGAAATAGATATCTTTTATGAAAAAGGAAAAACATAAATATTTGATCAGCACTCAACAGTTGCATTTTGCAAATATGTTTAACAACTAATAGTGACCTTGCTGTTACCAGTGAAAGTAATATTATAGTGTTTGATTGATATTAGCATTGTAAATAGTTAAAATAATTTCTTAGTAAGCAACTCATTGTAAGAACAATTGTAATGTATTTGAAGGCAGTGTGGCCGAGTGGTCAGCGTGTTGGACTCGCAATCCACCGCTCCCAGGTTCGAGTCCCGCCCTAACCACTACCTGGATTTGTTTCACGGTAGCTCCTAGTTCAAATCCTCGGCCATGCTTGTAAATAGCCAACTGGTTTGCCTTCACCCAGATGGGATTCTTATTAATATTATATTGAATTTGAATTATTTGTTTCAGTTGTTTGGTGGAAAACCTGTAAACTAGCTTTCAGCTAAGTGTTTCTCCATGTTAAATAAAGATTATTATAATGTATTGTGCAATACCTGTGTATTTGTATTTTGAAATGAAGAAGGTAGTAATAGGTTACAATGACATCCTTTTTAGAACTTCTAGGTCTAAAGAATACCACAGGATTAAAACATGATTGATCAGTTAGTGCAAATTTAGTGGTATAAATACAGACATTTTTGTTTGATGAGCAAATNGCTACGTGATTAGTGGGAACATGGCAACGAGAAAAACACGAATAAATTAGTGGAATGAAAAGCGTTCGTTGATACCTGTGGGATTTAGACTGCCGCTTTGAAAGATGAGCTTTTGTTCAAGAGTTTTCCGGCTTTCCGTGCTACCTAAGTGTAAGCAAAGACCGCAGATTGCCGTGTGTTGCTTAGAATGATTAGGTAAATTAATATGTCTAGCGACTGGTTTCGATGTGTCCTTGTCATTCCTCTCCACGTTGATATACTCAAATTATAGATTTAGTATAATTTTCAATTTATTAAAAATTTGAACCCTAGGACTTTTTATACCGACATCTTCCCAGAAATTTAATACGCAAGATTAAATAATAATAGTTATTGTTGTTGAAAATCCTTTTTTTTTATTTGCCAATTTTACTTGGTTTTTGACAGAAGAAAAAATATTAAAAGAACTGGCGTTATTTACAGGCGGGACGCTGATACAAAATTTTTCATTTGTCAGAACGATGGGCACGCCCATGGTGTATTAGAAAGGAAAAGACCTGTTCTCCTCGTGAGTGTTGCAAAAAGTTTTCTAGGCACTGAATATATCATTCTTAGTAGTCACTTCATTCCATCTTGACATGGGGCATAATTAGCAGAGAAGTTACCTAAACCTTCTGAAAAATTTGCAGCTCTAGGTTTTTACTTTACGGTTAAATTTACTGATTCAATTGTTGAAATAGAAACTAAACGCATGCACCGGCCTTGGAGTGAACGAGGCACTCGTGGATGTGCCCGTGAACAACTCGTGCTGAATTAGTTACCAGTTGCTAACGGTCAAACTTTCATGACCGAAAAGGCGGAAGTACATTTAGTAAGATTTCGCTTTAATTTGACATTCGATTCCACGCTAAACCTCGATTGAAAAGATGACGATGAAAGATTCTGAACTCGCGACTGAGTTGGAAGCTAAGACGGATTCGATTATTTTTTCTCTCATGGATGAGATGAAGCAGCTGAGTCTTCAAGAAGGAAAATCCTACACAACGGCATCGAGCCTGGACGATATGAAAACCGCTTTGGATTTTTATGACAACATCATTGAGCAGTTTTGGAAAATCGCTGAGAATATCGCAAAGACCTCCGCAGTGGAAGAGGAGCATGCTGGTACAGTTTTTATGGGAAGCTCCGGAGATGGAACATATCTACCTGAGGTGTCAGACACTTTTGACATGTACGTGATGGAGGAGGATTCCCAGTACGAATTGCAAGAAGATCTGGAGGCTGTTGATCCAGATTTTGTCAGCAAAAACCCTGGTTCAACTCATCTGCTCAAGGTTTGTGACAAAATGATTCATAGCGTTCCAGTAGTAATATGTCTATGTTACGTGTCGAGTATATAGTTTTTTGTTAAAATATACTACTGATAGAAACTAAGCGATTCACGATGAAACTGATAAAGAAAAAATATCGCAAGAAGTTGATTAAGTAAAGGAATTTTTAATTCTTCAATAAACAGGCTTATAACGTGAGCTTTCTCTTGGTTTGCGAACATACATACATCCACTTTATTTCAGCTCGTTGATGGTTAAAACTGGTGCTTGTGGAGTTGTCCATCTAAGTCTAAAGTACAATTACACATAATAAAATAATAAGTTTACAATATTTACTGTTGTAACTTCCTCAAGGCTGAGTGCTAAAAGTCCTGAAAATATATAAAATCGTTATTGCTTAAGTTGACAGTTGAGGCAGATGTTGCTTTAAAATGGAAATCTCTTAGTGCTTTGTATTTTACTTAGTTTGGATTCCAAAGACCAACGTTCAGCGTGAGTTATGTCCGGATGCCTGGATGCAATTGCATCCCAGAGGATGGCGCCCCTGTAACTGACAGACTGTTCTAGATAATGAGATTGAAACCCAGGAATAACAATATTTTCTGATCTTCTTAACGAGTACACGGTGTTTCTGACAATGCTGTCATTTAGGCCTAGTTTATACGTCGCGCTGTAGTCGAATTTAATTCAGACGAATTTAATTTAAGGTCCCACAAGCAATTAAATTCGACGATAGCGCAACGTCTAAAATGAATTAAATTCGTCTGGTAAATTAAATTCGTCCTTGGCGTTTTATCCGTCTTGGTAAGACGGATAAAATATCGATGACGCGTCTTCAGTTTTAACGTCGCACTAGCGTCGCGTCGAACTGAAATGCATACATTTTCTTGATGTATTTCAACCGAGCCATGTTTGTTTGAAAATGACACCTCTGACCAGAGGCACTGCATTTGGGAAGAGAATTAAATTCGATCGTATTGATTTCGACGCATGAAACCACGCCAAGAGTTACGTCGACGGAATGACGAATTTGATGGAATTAAATTCGTCTGAATTAAATTCGACTGTAGCGCGAGGTATAAACTAGGCCTTAGTGGTACAGGTAGCCTCTCGTTGTAAGAATTATGCATCAGCTTGAATAGTTTGATCTTATAAATGTAAGCTAAAGAATGTTGGCTAAGAAATGTTTCCTAAGTTAGAATGTTAGCTAGTGCGAACGTTGTGAGCCTGGAAAATTAAGTTTTTTTATTCGTTGTGAAACATTTTCCAGAACGTATTTTATTTACTGAGAAAATACGTTGCTTACAAGTTGGAATAATGTGTAATTCAATAACGACAAGGGCAGTTTTCCCACGAAATATTTTTCTATGGTGTCATCGTTTATAGAATACAGCAGGGCCCGAGATCCCTATTTATTAAAGCTTTCTACGAAACGAAATCTTTGCTAACGTAATGTGTTCACCGGAAGGTACTTCCGACAGAAAAGCCTGGGTACTATCTTCTAACTTGGTCCGAGTACGGCCTGGTATTAAAGCGGCGATGGGAGGAGAAGCACTCTTCCGGACAGGCCAGTGGTGGTGCCACTAAGGTAACTACAGGTCCAACGCCGATATTTGAGAGGCTAATTGAATATTCTGAAGAAATCGAGCACGAAGGAGGGAAGATCCATATAATTTCACCATACAAGATTCGTCAGTCGTAGCTGAGGAAACCGCCGACCAGCATTCAAGGTAAGAACCACTATAGTAGATCGCTTCCCGTTAAATAACTACGGCGCTTATATAATTTCTCGCGAACATGTTCATAATAAAAATATGATGGCTTGTTATTTTGGTTTTATTCATCTTTTTTTTTGTGGTTTAATTTTGATGGTCATTTGAAACATGGAAAGTGGAAATAAAATGGGATCTTTAAACTTTCATGCAGGGGAGGTGGAACCGAAACAAATATGTTATTGGTGAACGTAAGGGGGAGGGGAGGCTCAGGTTTAGAAAACTGTGTCACTAATCTGACCTCAGGCGATTCTCAACTGCTTATGATTCCTATTAATCTCAGGCTGGCCTGTGTGGTTCAGAATGCAGGACCACAATTCACCTGCTGTAACTCTTCTCACCGAAGAAGACAAGGGCATGGGAAAGAAGAAAATCCAAGTGACTGACCTTGTCCTTGGGGTACGCACGACAATGTCTTGTTTACAAGAAAAGTGGATCAACGATAAACAAGGTATTGATAATGATGATAATGAGGATAACGAAATTGATAATGACGAGGACGAGGACAGTGATAACTTGTCAGTCATTAATATTTTACTGAAATAAGAGTGGAGTAGAAAATATTGTGAGATTAAATTTCTCTTCCAGATCGATGATTTAACAATTTAGGTCTAACGTTTTCTTACATGCAGTATTTGTGAATGGATGGACATCTTCTCTCCTTATGGCGACTATAATGATATTCTTACATCTGGTCTTAAAAAAATTAGGTTCCAGTAAATGGCTCAAGGATGATATGCTGAAGAAGCTCCGTGACTTCAAATGTTCGGTCGTAGCCAAGTCTTGGGATTCGCAGGAGGAAAACCTGTCAGTCTGGAGAATCTCCTTCTCTGGACCGGAGAGAGAATGTGTCAGCAGTCTTCCCCCTGAGCCGAAGATCTGCTTGATAATCATGAAGGCGATTCGCCGAAAGTTCTTGAGCAAACCAAAGGGATTAATCAGCTACCACATGAAGACGGTCTTGTTTTACACTTTGGACAAAGTTGGGAGCGATTGGAAGAGATCGGATCGAGCTGAAAACATTCTAAGATTGTTGGCAGCGGTCGCGGAAGCTCTAAAGTCGCGTTCACTTCCGTTGTACTTCGAGCCCAGGCTCAACACACTGGAAAGCATGGAAGCAGAGACTGCGGCGC